CCCAAGAAAGACTAAAAGGCCAGCTGGGGGCGGTGGCTTATTCCTGTAATCCCAGCACTTTGGAGGCTGAGGCAAGCGGATCACTTGAGGTCCGGAGTTCAAGACCAGCGTGGTCAACATCATGAAAACCCATCTCTACTAAAAATACAAAATTAGTTGGGTGTGGTGGTGGGCGCCTGTAATCCCAGCTACTTGGGAGGCTGAGACAGGAGAATCACCTGAACTCAGAAGGCAGAGGTTGCAGTGCACTGAGATCGTGCCGCTGCACTCCAGCCTGGGCGACAGAGTGAGATTCTGTCTTAAAAAAAAAAAAGACTAAAAAACACTGATGAAAGAAATTAGAAAACCCAGCAGTCTTTTATATATTTGCAGAAAGCCTTTAGGTTTTGGAGAAAATATTTGCATGTCATTCAAAAGGCTGAAGTAGGGTAATTGTGTGCAGGTACTATTAAGTGGGTTTGTTTTTTTTTGTTGTTGTTGTTTTTTTGTTTTTGTTTTTTTTTTTTTTGAGACGGAGTTTCACTCACGTTACCCAGGCTGGAGTGCAATGGCGCGATCTCGGCTCACCGCAACCTCCGCCTCCCGGGTTCAGGCAATTCTTCTGCCTCAGCCTCCTGAGTCGCTGGGATTACAGGCACGCGCCACCATGCCCAGCTAATTTTTTGTATTTTTAGTAGAGACGGGGTTTCACCATGTTGACCAGGATGGTCTCGATCTCTAGACCTCGTGATCCACCCGCCTCGGCCTCCCAAAGTGCTGGGATTACAGGCTTGAGCCACCGCGCCCGGCCTATTAAGCGGGTTTGAAACAATTGGGCGTCAAGCAAATGCAAGGGACTGCCTCATGAGGTGGTGATACAGGGGTATTTATGCAGACCACCTATTGGAGTTGCTGTTAAAGCCCTAAATTGATGGAGACACTGGAAGAGAGGACCTCTAAGGTCCTGGTGTTCTTTAATTCTCGGACCAAGGCCGTTGAAAGGAGCAAGCTGGGCTACTTGAAGAAAATTGGCAGTGAACAAAGTATAGGGCTCTTGAAATTTATTTTAGACATTTGAGAATGGGAGGATTGTTTCTGATGCAGCAGAGATGTTGAGGCGGTTGAGACTGAAGCCGTCCTTCAGGAAGAGATGGTTGGGGTGCGCTGGAAAAAAGTAGATTGGAAACCATTAAGAGTCTGACTGCAGCTAGGGCAAAGTACGGGGAAACAGAATTTTCTGGTTATGTAAAAGTTAGTTTTCTATCTGAACTTACTGAAGTTATGGATTATACCTTGATTCGAATCTGTAATTTCTAGAAGTTTGTGTTTCTAGCCCAGTTCTTGGACCATCAAACCAGCTCATTGACCGAATACTTCAAGAAGGAGAACCAAGCAGCTCTCCATTTTCGAAAGGCTTCTGTAATGTAAATAGGAACAGCAGTCTTTCCAAGTTATTACCCTGTTAACAGGTTGACAGATATGTGCAAATTGTGACTCACTGCTCAATTTGGCACTAAATTAATGTCTTTCCGCGCCGCGTCTGCTGAAGTGTAAACTAGTCACCACTGCTGTGTTACTGCTTGTTTGCCTATATTCCAAAGGTAAAAATTAAAGTAATTTGATTCTGCCACAGAACAGAGTGTAACATATGGTGGAAGTGTAGGAGGGGAGCACGCTGTTCCTACCTGTCCTTAGCCCTGCTCTCAAAGTGGGGCGCTGCACTGCAGAGCCCGCTGCAGACGCTAGCAGTGCTCACTGTCTCGGGAGGCAGCACTCGGAGATGGATGCCAGAGACCACGTCCCATACCAACACCCCCTCCCTCAGCAAAAAAAAGAGTGTCATTTTTGTCTCTAGATTTTTAATTTGAGCTTCCAAGCTTTCCTTATTTCTGTCAAGTCACTCATGGTTGATTTGTGTTTCGAAGGTTGGGTCTGTTTGAAAATGAAGTGTTTTGATTTTTGCCTCGAGAATTTAGACATTGTTTTCCTCAGCTAAAGATGCAGCTGACTTTCTCTCTTTCCCTTTTTGGCAAATACATAATGTCACCTGTAGAAAAGAAATTTGCATCTCTTTTGTGTTAGGCATGTGAATGGAAAGCAGTCTCCTGAAAATTCAAGTTTTGCTTCATACAGCCTTTGAGTTTGCTGAGCTTCGTCTCAGGTCACGGGTTGGGGAAGAAACAGCAAAACAGCAACAAAACCCACCCAGATCTCTTTACTTACCTGTGCCGACTGCACACACTTTTCCTGGGAACTTATTTTTCTTCTGCCATCGCCTTTTCTTACAGGTAAAAATCTCATAAATAAATAAATAAATAATGGCCAGTAATATATGTTTGCCCATTTAGAACTCTGGCCCTTACTAAAAGCAAGCAAAGCTAGGTAGTTGGCATGGAATTCTAGAAATTTACACACTGACTTGGTTTCTGGCTTTTTGCTTCACCTGGGATCATCACTGAACCCACCCATTTCTTTATTTTTCTAGCCTCCTAAGGAGACTGGTTTTCCAGAATGTGTCTTGACACCTTCAAGGTGAAAGGTACAAGGGAAAGCAAATGATGATGTTACCTGTGTGCTGGAATCTGCATGTTGATCTGCTTTCTGCTGTCCAGAGCTATGATGGCTATTGATTGAGGATCAGTTCAGAAGACATCGCCTGTCCTCCCCATTAGCATATACTTAGCAATGACCTCCATTCACACAGGACAGTAGATGTTTGCTTCCTGCTGAGTAGTAAGAAACTCGGTTTAAACCACATACACAAATTTAGAAAAGAGTATATACACGCAGAAATGTTTCCGGTGACCTGGGATAAACTTTGGGCATGACGTTTTTGTCATGTGCCTTCACCATTTCAAGAAACATTAGGCAATGATGAAAAATGAGTTCATTTCCTCCTTCACCTTCTCATTCCTTATGTAGCATTTAAGCTTAGATCCAAGGTTGTGTGTCATGATGCTGTAAATCTAGAAGGAACCACAGGAAATGATGTGTGGTCAGCCTGTGTCTTAGCCACCCAGCAAAGATTGTTTCTTAAACCATTAAAGCAGAATGGGGCCTTGCCTTTAAGACATGCCTCTCATTCTTTCTGAGCACGTTCACTTTTCGGTGGCATGTCCTCACGGTATGGTGTTTTCGAGGGATTGGAGATGCTGTTTGCTACTGAGTTCATAAAAGCCATTCATGTACTTGAAGAATATCAGCGTCTCCCTGGCCTTCTTTTCCCCAGGAGCAAATACCCTTCAGTTCCACCCCGCCCCTTCTCACTCATCTCTGCTGCTGTCCTCTTACTGTTGTCGTTGTTTACTGCTGGGCCCTCTCTAATTTTTCCCCTTCCTTCTTCAGCTTAAAGTTTCAAAACTCGACATAACATTCCCTAAGGAAAACCTGATAGGCCTGCCTTAGAGAATAGGTGGGGCCGCTTTCTGACTTTGATGGCTGGCATGTGATGTTCGCTTTTTACCAAATGGCTTCATGTTTTCTGCTGTCTCTCATGAGCCCCAGCTTCGAACTAAAATCCTTTCATGTTGTGAACAGAGAGCTAATCTCCCTCTTACCCCAAGAGAATATACCTTTTATGTGTCCCTGACTTAATGGACATGTAATTTAATTTGTCATAACCAATGGATATGAAATCCAATGTAAAATCCTTAATAGATCGTTTTACATGTCAGCTATTGTATTATACATCCTCTCTGTGTCCAATGTGATTGGATGGTGAATTTGTTCTCAAAGGACCTGAGCCAGATCCTACTCTATGCTATGGGCTGATGTCCTCACAATGTGCCACCACTGGAGGGGAGAATTTATCCCAGTAAGAGAGGGTATTTTTGCAGAATCAGCTCATGGTATAAGTGGTGGAACTAACAATCAGGGCACTTAAAATTTTTACATCCTTTATATGTGCCAGATCCTATGCTAAGTTCTTAATGTCACTGACCTCAATTATTATTAAACCTTAAGAGATACAGGTTTCATCTGGGCTATAAGAATAGAGGATTCCCTTTTGGTGGGATGTCTCCAAGGAAAACATGAAGCTGATAGCTTGCCTGATATGTTTGGAGTAAAAGTTAGGTAGATAGTTTAGGAATAAAACTGTAACAGGTACATAGAAAACTAATCAAATGAAAAGGCAAAACAGGGCTGACGCAGTGGCTCATGCCTGTAATCCCAGCACTTTGGGAGGCTGAGACAGGCAGATCACTTGAGGTCAGGAGTTCGAGACCAGCCTGGCCAACATGGTGAAACCCCATCCCTACTAAAAATACAAAAAGTAGCTGTCAGTGGTGGTGCCTGTAATCTCAGCTACTTGGAAAGCTGAGGCACGAGAATCACTTGAACCTGGGAGGCGGAGGTTGCAGTGAGCCAAGATCACACCACTGCAGTCCAGCCTGGGCTAAAGAGTGAGACTCAGTCTTGAAAAAAGCAAAATAGAAATCTAGGAAAACAGAAAGCTGTATAAGTAAATAAATGTAGTCATGAGCCACTACGTGGGCAGCTATTAAAAATATATGCAGAGATTTTATAATTAATCACAGACTACTGATTTAAGTAAAAATTGTGATATAACTTGAATTAGGTACAACCAGGAGGTCAGGAATGACTTCAGGTATTTAAAATAGAAGGAATTTAATCCCAGGAATTGGTTATTCCATTGATTCAGAGGAGAAGCTAAACAAGACAGTGAGACAGCCCAGAGGTGCACAATAACTGGATGCTGAGGCTATCCTGGACTGGAAGGACAAAGGGAGGGGGCCATATTGTTAGAGCCCAGTGGCCCAGCAGGTGACTCAGCTAAATTCTCACCTCCTATAGAAGAAAATTAATTGTCATGCCTTAAAATAAAAAATCAAGAACTAGCATTAAAAACACATTATCTGGACATAGCTCCTATTTGCCTTCTTAAAAATATGTTATATTGATAAAAAATTAAATTTAAAAGCAATGTCTTTCAAATACTATAAATCTGTAGTTCTTAACTGGAGTTATAGTTGACACATGTGTATTTTTTTCCCACCTAGGTATGTTGATGACGTGATCAGCCGCATTGACAGGATGTTTCCCGAAATGTCCATCCACTTATCCAGACCCAATGGAGCATCAGCAATGCTTCTGGTACGATCAGCTTTACTGACTTGTAGGGATGTTGGAGAAAAAAATGGACATCACAATTAAGTCTCTGGTTCTGTGTTGTAGGATCTATAGAATGGGGATTAAATTCCAATTTGATGATGAATAACATATTTTCTGTACTGGCATTCTGTAGGTTAAAAATTCTGCACATTGAAACCTTGCTTTTGAACAAAATTGCAGACCCCATGTAAGAATTAACCAGAGAGGAAAGATACTGTAAGACAATTTCACCTTAAGTCATTTCATGCAACCTCCCAATGTTTCGGTGAATCTGTTTTCTATTTTCCCTAAGGAAGTATAGTAGACAATGTGATGCTCAGCTGTGGGATCCTGCTAAAGAAAACAGTTTCTTCATACAAAACCAGAACGTTACATATTTTAACAAAGTGTTTTGGGACTCATGACTGATGACTTCTGGTTTTGCTGTTTCTGATTATGTTTTGCTCTGAACAGATCGCCTCATAGGCTCCTGGTGGATGTTTGTATTTGCATGAATTCACCGAAGACCAGATGTGTTTTGGAAATAAGATGGGACAGCAATGCTAGATTATATTATTAATTAGGAAGACATAGAGACCTCAATGATGAGAAGCTTTTCTAGTGGTCTGTGTATTAATACTTGTATGTGCTTGAAGAATACTTCCCTGAACACAGATTTTTGAGGAATCACCACATTTCATAAAAAGCAGTTTATGGAATAAGAATGTTGGTTTCAATGGGCATCAGGGAGGTGAGGTTCAGGACTGGGTATTTTTTCCATCTATTCCATTGTTGCTGCTCTGGAGCCTAGTGCGAACTCACCATATTTTAGCATTTTACTTGTGTGAAATCTTATAAATAGCCAGTCACCCAGGATGAGTTACTACTTACTCCAGCCATTCATCTTAGGGGAGCAGGCTTATTGTGTGTGCATGTGTGTTTTGGTCTTAAGACGGCAAAAAATCTGGGCTTGTTAAATGTTTGTTATTTCATTTGTGGGGAAAAAAAATTAGTGACATTCACCTGGATAACATGCTACTTCTTAAAAAAATTCTTTCAGTTAAAACATAAAGAAAGGGAGACAATGCAGTGTTTTTTCATAGAAAAGGTAAACCATTTTCTTCATATAAAAATACGTGTCTACAAAACATGAAATATCATCCGCCTTCAGAGGGTGAGGTGAGGCAGGATTGTGGCCAGTGCACTCCAGACTGGGCAAAAGAGCAAGACTCTGTCTCAAAAAAAAAAAAAAAAAAAAAAAAAAGTCTGCCTCATTAAATGTACAACTTGTCCAGATTTTAAGATCCCCCAGACCAGCAGCTGAAAGATAAATCCTGCTCTCAGCATACCTGACAGGGCCCCAAAGAGTTAATGAAGATAAAAATGAATGTATCCTCAGTGAAATAGATTTGTTCAAATTATTTCTGGGTCATTGAGCTCCCATTTCATGATGAGGGTGGGATTTGACATTGAAGGGAATGAGCAGAGGAAACAGGATTCCAGGCAAACAGGCTGCACAGATGAGTTCCTTCCACCTGAGGAGGCAGGCGTGTATTTCACAGTGACGATCGCGCTCGCCTGCTTTCCCATGGAGCCTCTGTCCTAATAGACTGATGAGAATTAGGGGCTCAATTCAAGGCAAGAGTCACATTTCACATGCCCTGTTTATTTACTACCACCAACACCCCCCACCCCTGCCTTCGTGCAAATTCAGATGTGTGCAGCAGGGCATCTACTTGTTACCCTTCTCTGGTGACAGGAACTCACAGAAGCTGGAGCTTACTTACAGGAACAGTGCTAAGTGATCCAATTCAGAATCAGATAGCCACGGGGGTAATCAGACTTTTACCATAATGCCTGCATTTGGCATTTACTTTTAAACGTTGGAATTCTACGAGATGGCAAATCTCTAGGCCATTCACTCCTGCCACACCCATTGTGAGGTGGGTGACGGGAATTCCTACCTGGAGGGGGAGCAGAACCAACAGATGCCACCTTCCCTGCCACCTACCATTGCTGGTCACCTGTTTCCTGGACTTCATTGGTAAAGTTCTGGGGCCTAGACTGTAGGCAGGAGGTGTAGTCAGTAGTTGAAAGTGTTTTCTGGAGGTTAATCTGGAATAAATTGTATTAATCTGGAATGCAGCGTATTCTGGAAGGCTTTGGGGGCAGGTGAGACTGATGGGGAGAGACCAGTTAGGAGGTGGCTGAACCAGGGTGCACTTGAGCAGTCTCAGCTGACACCTCCCTTTACCTCCCTTGGCAAATGTCCAAAGTGCACCTGTGCTGTTGAAATAAAAAGGCATTCCCTCCTGAATTGGCTGGGCTTCCTTGGATGCAGTCAACGGAACCCTGCTCTGATTGACTTACATAAGGAAAGACTTGGTTTGGGTTTTGCTTTTTGATGGTGCCAGGTGTATCAGGTGCAATGATCAGCTGACCTGCCAGGACAAAAACCAGAGTAGTTCCAGGCATGCCAGGAGCAAGATCAGGACAATGATTTTTGGGGGCCCCATGCCCCAAATGATTCCACGCCCCCCACTGCCTTCCATGCCTGTGCATACAACCTGGGAATACTGCTGCTGGCCTCACCTGCAGTTGCTCTTTGCCCTGAGCCCAGAGGATGGGGAGTCAGGCCTTGGCAGCCCCACAGAACTGCAAGGAGTGGAGGGGAAGTAATTCCCTAGAGGAGCCAGCCATCTGTATGGCACATCGAACATCTGTGTGGACAGAGCCCTGTGGCTTACATAGCACTCATCTCATCTGATCCTCACTGTGGCCCTGGAGGTAGATACCACCAGCTGTGTTCATTTGACAAGTAGGAAACAGAGGCAGTTGTTGCCTCTGGCTTGTGCAGCCGGGACACCTATCTCTATCTCGCCAAGCCTCTGGGATGCTCTCCTCCTCTTGTCTCTGATGACAGCTCATGCTGGTGGCAAGTTAAATTTGGACTACCAAGCACCAGGCTGGTAATTTTTTCTTTTTTGTTTCTGTTTCTCTTTCTCTCTCTCTCTCTCCTTTCTTTCTTGTGTCACTTTGTCACCCAGGCTGGAGTGCAATGGCATGATCACAGCTCATTGCAGCCTCAACCACCTGGGCTCAAGCAATCCTTCCACCTCAGCCTCCTAAGTAGCTGGGACCACAGGTGTGTGCCACCACGCCCAGCTGATTTTTGTGTTTTTTATAGAGACACCAGGCTGGTCTCGAACTCCTGAGCTCAAGCGATACGTCTACCTAAGCGCTGGGATTACAGATATGAGCCACTGCACCTGGCCAATTTTTTCTTAAAAATTTTAAATTGTGTAATTTGACATATGCTAAAGAATATATATAATGTATATGTAAATTATAAAGCTTAGATAAATCCATGAGCTCCTCACTCAATTTGAGAAATAGGACATAACCAACCAATATGGGCTCCTCCCCTATCCCTGCCTCTCTATCCATGGTCACCTCCAACCCCAGAGCCACCCCCTTCTCCTTTTTAAAATGGAGTTTGCCACACGTGCCTATATTCCTAAATAACGGCTCCTTGAGTTTTGAGCTTTGTGAAAATAGTATCATATTATGTATATTGTTTCTGACATGTACCCCTGATGGTGGTCGTATCTGGCAGTTTGGTCATTGTCATCTAATGTCCATTCTGTGACTGTCCACACCCTATTCTTTCTCTTGCCAAGGCATGTTGGGGTTGTATACAATTTGCTTTATAAATAGTGTTGGCATGAGCATTCTCATGCATATACCAGAATACATTTTTTTTAAGCTTTTAATTTTTGTGGCTACATAGTAGGTATATATATTTATGGGGTACATAAGACACGTTGATACAGGCCTGTGATGTATAATAGTCACATCATGGTAAATGGGATATCCATCCTCTCAAACATTTATTCTTCTGGTTTTATAAACATCCAATTATAGTCTTTTGGTTATTTTAAAATGTACAACTAAATTGTTATTGATTGTAGTCACCCTGTTGCGCTATCAAATACTAAGTGTTATTTATTCTTACTAGCTACTTTTTGTACCTATTAAGCATCCCCACTACCCCGCCTCCCCCCACCCCAGCTACCCTTCTCAGCCTCCTTCTTCTATCTCCAAGAGTTCAATTATTTTAATTTTTACCTCCCACAAATAAATGAGAACATAACGAAGTTTATCTTTCTGTGCCTGGCTTATTTCACGTAAGTTAACCACCTCCATCTCCATCCACGTTGTTGCAAATGACAAGATCTCATGCCTTTTCATGGCTGAATAGTACTCTGTTGTGGATATATATCACATTTTTTTTTGTCCACTCATCTCTTGATGGACACTTAGGTTGCTTCCAAATTTTGGCTATTGTGAACAGTGCTGCAACAAACATGGGAGTGCAAATATCTCTTCAGTATACTGGTTTCCTTTCTTTTGGGTATATATGCAGCAGTGGGATTGCTGGGTCATATGGTAGCTCTATTCTTAGTTTTTTGGAGGAACCTCAAAACCGTTCTCCATAGTGGTTGTACTAATTTACATTCCCACCAACAGTGTTCAAGCGTTCTCTTTTCTCCACATCCTCGACAGCATTTGTTATTGCCCATCTTTGGATAAAAGCCATTTTAACCGGGTTTTTGCCATGTGCATGTCTTCTTTTGAGAAATATGTATTCAGATCTTTTGCCTATTTTTTTAATCGAATTATTAGCTTTTTTTCCTGTCGAGTTTGAGCTCCTTATATGTCCTGGATATTAATTCTTTGTCAGATGGGTAGTTTACAAATTCAGTAATATTGCAGATTCATTGTATAGACTGTCTCTTCACTTTGTTGATGGTTACCTTTGCTGCACAGAAGCTTTTTAACTTGATGTGATCCCATTTATCGATTTTTGCTGTGGCTGCCTGTGTTTATAGGAAATTACTCAAGACATTTTTGCTCAGACCAATGTCCTGAAGAGTTTCCCCAACATTTTCTTGTAATAGTTTCATAGTTTGAGGTCTTAGATGTAAGTCTTTAATCCATTT